CCAACAGCTTTCTATGTTCACTTATAAGATATTATTAATGCGTTCTTTTATGCGTTATATGTTATTGAGCCTCGTGCGACTCGTTGGCTACGGGGAAGACGTAAGAGAAATAACGTACTAAAGAGATGAAGATAAATAGATAAATAGAGATCTTAAATGTAAAAACCCGAATCAGAAAACTCCTTTCTGATCTGCATAATCCTATGAGAATCCCTCCAGGTCCAAAGCTTCTCTCAGGACATTCATATCTCCTTCCTTCATATCTCTGGCCGGAGAATGCAAGTAGACTAAAAGAGGGCAGGCGTAGCTATGTATATAGCAAGCTAAAAATCGAGCGAAAAGTGCAGATTCTGCCGAGTTCTTGTTTAAAAAATTTGCTTCAGGAAATGAATCCTTATAAGACGAATCTAGGTTAGGAAGACCATCAAATTTAGATATTGATGAATTAAAGATAATGATTGAAACGAGAAATGTATCAAGTGCTTGCTAAAAGTTTTAAGTAAGTGATAAAACAATTAGACTTAAATAGACTTCATCCACATAAAACAAAATTATTTGAAATCAAAATACAAATTTTTTATTTATAACTCAAAAGGTGACAGAATTTTTTTGGTTACTTGATGTGTGATAGGTTCAAACATCTTGAACAAGACTTCGTCTAAAGAGCTTACTATATAATATCATGAACATTTAATGGATAACATTTTTAAATTTAATATCTTAATAACACAGGCCTGCAAAATTCCAACAACTTTATGCGTTTTGGATTTCAAAGGTCATTTCCTACGTAATTTTGTCCGCTGAATACGAATCCGGCTTTAGAATTTTTTTATTACGTCAGGTTTTCGAGATAATTAGGTTTAAATAACCAAAAAATGCTGTTTTTCACAGTATTCAACTGATTACACAGGTCTGTATAATTTTGTGTTTTGGATGTCAAAGGTCATTTCCTACATAATTTTGTCCGCTGAATACGAATCTGGCCTTAGAATTTTTCTATCACGTCAGGTTTTCGAAATAATTAGGTTTAAATAGCCAAAAAATGCCGTTTTTCACTAGGCTACCCAGCCACTGAAGACAAGGCTAGATGATCCAGCCACTGAAGGCAAGATTAAAAGGCTGCCCAGCCACTGAAGACAAGATTAAAAGGCTTGATTAAAAACATATGAATACCTCATCGATATCTGATATCTTTCTTCCATCTCTTTAATATCCTGATGAAATTTTTCCCCTTGTTCCTCGCTTACGCTTCCTAAGCTACATATATGTAAGGAAGTAGTCAAGATGGCTTTTCAAAAAATGTATCGTTAGATTCATATTGCATCCTAATTTCACAAACTTTCCAAACATGTTACTCACCAATTCTTCATAGTTAGAATCTTTTTTGTTTCCCAAGAAACCCAGAATCATTTCCTTCAATGAAACCCAAGCTTCTCTTTCTAAACAAGTCATTGTTTTTTTCAAATTTCTCGTCTTTAGTAAGTAATCTAATTTGAGGCCCAATAAAAATGCCTTCCTTAATATTTGCATCACTGAGATGAGGAAACTTTGTACAGAGGTATTTAAAACAATTTCCTTCCTTATGCAGAACCTTCACGAATTGCTTCATTATACTCAATTTTATGTGTAACGTAGGTAACAAAATTTTATTAGGATCAACTAACGTTTCATTTATTACATTTTTCACGCCAGGCTTCAAGCTTTTTCTAACTTTCCATTTTTTCTGTCCAATAAAGTTCTCTGGCTCTACTATCCCATTCGCAAAGAAAACATGGGAATTTGGTGAAACCTTGCTGTTGTCCTAGAAGCATACATAAAATTTTCAAATCACCGCAAATTAACCAATTGTGTTGTTCATAGTTAATGTATCCCAAAAGTGTTTTTAAGTTTTCATATGTTTCTTTTAAATGAACTGAGTGTCCAATAGATACTGATGCATATATTGCCCCATTGTGAAGGAGAACAACTTTTAGACTTCGTCTTGAGGAATCAATGAAAAGTCTCCATTCATTAGCATTATAAGACTTTAATCCCAAAAGATGCATCAAGTCAGATACATTATTGCAGAAAACTAATGAATCTACCATAGAAAAAAAAGGAATAAATTCTTTTTCACGATATCTGTACCAAGAAAACGTTGTTTCTGATTCTAACAAATGCCTTTCTTTCAATCTGGATCCCAGTAACTCTACACTTTCTTTAGACAGACTTAAATCTCTTACAAGATCATTTAAAGCAGACTGATTGAAAAGCTTTGGACTATTGTCATCAACCGGATCGATTTCATAAGTTTCAAAATCTACATTATTCTCATCAACAGGATTGTCGTTGTCTAAAGATGGTAAAGAGTTCATTGGTGGAGAAGGAATAGGAATATCAGGTCCATGAAAAACAGGTCTTGTAGCGCATGAAAGTATTGTATAAGAGATATTTTTCTTATTGCGAGCATTATAGCCCATGATTTGACATGAGCAAAAGTAACAGCTAGTTATATGATCAGTTGGTTAACGCCAAATCATCGGAATACCAAATCACATGCCACTTCTTTTTCCTTTCAACCAATATCTCAATCCTTGATAGCAAGTTGTACAAATTGGTATGAGGAACCCATGGTTTATCAAGATTTTTTATTTCAATATTAAAATATTGAAAATAACATGTTTTGATATTTTGAGTTATAGGAACTTTTTGCTTTGGTGAAACCTTGCTGTTGTCCTAGAAGCATACATAAAATTTTCAAATCACCGCAAATTAACCAATTGTGTTGTTCACAGTTAATATATCCCAAAAGTGTTTTTAAGTTTTCATATGTTTCTTTTAAATGAACTGAGTGTCCAATAGGTACTGATGCATATATTGCCCCATTGTGAAGGAGAACAGCTTTTAAGGCTTCGTCTTGAGGAATTAATGAAAAGTCTCCATTCATTAGCATTATAAGGCTTTAATCCCAAAAAATGCATCAAGTCAGATACATTATTGCAGAAAACTAATGAATCTACCATAGAAAAAAAGGAATAAATTTTTTTTCACGATGTCTGTACCAAAAAACGTTGTTTCTAATTCTAACAAATGCCTTTCCCAGATAGCCAAACCTGCGCGAGCAGATTTCGAACAAAGCCTGCTATCATAGTTTGATGGCAAATAGGCAACAAATTTAACGCAGTATCTGTTATATCAAATTATACCGCCAATCTGCGGTCAAATATGCGCCAGATCCTGCTGTCGGATATTTGACGGCAGATTTGTAGCAAAAACCGCGCAAGACTTGCAGTAATTTGACGGCAGATTGGCGGCAGAAACCGAGCAAACTCAGCGCGCAGACTCTACGCGTAGTTTGGCAGCAGGACCTGCGCGGTTTCTGCCGACAATCTGCTCGCACGGCCTGTCACACAGATCCTGTCGACAAAACATGAGCCTAATGAGGACACAGATGATTATGGTTTTGATGTAGAGATCTGATCGAAATTGGCATCAATCTGCGCGCATTCTGCTAGCATTTTGCTTGGGTTTCTTTCAATCTGGATCGCAATAACTCTACACTTTCTTTAGACAGACTTAAATCTCTTACAAGATCATTTAAAGCAGACTGATTAAAAAGCTTTGGACTATTGTCATCAACCGGATCGATTTCATAAGTTTCAAAATCTATATTGTTCTCATCAACAGGACTGTCGTTGTCTAAAGATGGTAAAGAAGGGTTCATTGGTAGAGAAGGAATAGGAATATCAGGTCCATGAAAAACAGGTCTTGTAGCGCATGAAAGTGTTGTATAAGAGATGTTTTTCTTATTGCGAGCATTATAGCCCGTGATTTGGCATGAACAAAAGTAACAGCTGGTTATATGATCAGTAAGTTCACGCCAAATCATTGGAATATCAAATCGCATGCCACTTTTTTTTCCTTTCAACCAATATCTCAATCCTTGATAGCAAGTTGTACAAATTGTATGAGGAACCCATAGTTTATCAAAATTTTTTATTTCAATATTAAAATATTGAAAATAACATGTTTTGATATTTTGCGTTATAGGACTTTTGCTTTTGCGGAACGTATTCACAACAGATGTAGCAAAATTTATCAGGATCGTTTTTATACTTTCGCGAAGCCATTTCATTAAAAAAAAATGTATATATTAAAGAGAACAAATGAAATATGTAAATACTCTACATATTTTAAATGATATGTTATAATAAGGAAGAACAGGTTATATGAAGTTATTATTGCAGCATAGTGTTACAAACGTAATACTGCATTAAATTCACGTCAGTTCTGTGAAGTTCCTACTTTTATCAATGAAATAGCATTAATTACGCAAGTAGTTCAGAATAATCAAGAGCCTATTGTCATAATTTCCTAAAAAATTTTCACCATGTTAACAATGATGTTTTTAGTTGGTATATAATATTATAAAAATAACTTCCAAAGAATCCTATCTTTTTATTTTAATTTTTTTCTTACTGTGTACAATAAAGTATTATATTATATTTTCTTTCATTTTATTGATTTTAATATTTTTAATTTTTAAGTTATAATTATCTCGAAAACCTGACGTGATAGAGCAATTCTAAGCCCGGATTCGTATTCAGCGGACAAAATTACGTAGGAAATAACCTTTGACATCCAAAACACAAAATCGTACAGACCTGTGTAATCGGTTGAATATTGTGAAAAACAGCATTTATTGGCTATTTTAACCTAATTATCTCGAAAACCTGACGTGATAGAGAAATTCTAAGGCCGGATTCGTATTCAGCGGAGAAAATTACATAGGAAATGACCATTGAAATTCAAAACGCAAAATTATGCAGACCTGTGTAATTATTATGTTTATTTATAAAATAATATAGGACTTTTTTATTAAGTTTAGTGAATTCTACTTCCACATAAAATGACACGAATAGATCGATATAAATTACGTTTGATACGTTACTCTAAATGTCTTTATTTATATAACTAAACATATAAAATTTTGCAATAAAAGATATTATGCTAATACTCACCAGTCAACGGGTTGATTGTTTTCATCTCTACACTGAAGAGTTCTGGCATTTACTGTATTGCATCCAAACAATAAAATGCTCACGTATAGCAACGGAAACATTCTTGATAAATGTTATTGGTCAGCTCAAAACTGTGCAAAATTTGTAGTGATGGTCAAGACCGAATACTGGATCAATTTGCTGCTTGCAACTAACAAACAGTTATGACAATTGACGCTCATTAAAGTACAAGTGTGCGTTTTATACTTAAACCATTCAACCAATTACGTCACGAGTCACAATGCGCATGTGTCGAGAACGCGTCAATAAAGTGAAGAGATCTGCTACATTATTTTCGATTCATTAAAGCGATCGTCATTTTCTGGAACATATGCGAATTAATATGTAAATTTACACTTGTAATATTGACATTTGTTGCGTAGATAATTCCGCTTCATTTGCTATCGTCATATTATTTCGTAATTCGATTGCAATTAAAATGCACTTGTGTAAAATATTTAAGTATGAAAGATTCTCATTGGAAATTCCAAGTATTTATGTTGAACGAATATAAATGACATTTTAAAACATTTTAAATTTGTAATAAATTTAAAAACAGGATTTTTATTTAGTAAATTATGTTTCAGAAACGCGGATAGATAAGAATATACTTTATTCTTCAATTAATTTGATTCTAATTGTTTGTTTGTACAGTTTTAACAAAAATAATTTCGATTATTTTTATTTTAATGCGTATTGTCAAGTAATTCTCTTTATAAGGAAACTTATAATAGTGTACCCCTCCAATTTTGATGATCTCGTAATTCGTTAAAATCTAAATCAAAATAAGGATATATTTTTTTATAAATGCTACTTCTTCAGATTTAGAAAACAAAATATCATTATAAAAAAAATTAGTTTTCTTCTTCTTAAATGAAAATTATTGAAAGAGTGAAAAATAAGACCGCAAATTTAAACAGAAATTTTTTAACTCAAATACACTTTATAACGGTGTTTAAAAATGTGTCGAAAATATATTTTCTAACAATCTTTACTACTTATTTTTTTTTAATAATGGAATATTTAAGACTATATGAGATTATTTTATATCAAATCTCTAACTATATATTACTACATATAACTACATAACAAAAGTACACTCCGAAAAATTTTTCAAAATTAATTGGAAAAGTGTTTTATACGCACGCTATTAGTTCGCGTACTTACCTACTATATCTGTACTTAGGATGTTCCATTTTAATCAACATATTTCTCAAGAATAAACATTTCAAAAACAAAATGAGAAATTAAGATTTATTTTTTCATGTTGTATAGTTCTATAATTCATGTTGTATAATTTTAAAAGCAAAATATGAAAACAGAAGAATTTTGCCTTTAGTAAGAATGTCAAAGTGAAATGAAGGCTAATTTCATATTTTATTCGAATCTTAAATTTTGAAACATCTACATCTGTAACTCTTTTTATGAATATATGTAGTTATATATAGTCATATGTACTGAAAATAATCGCACATGTAAGGTCATTTGAAGTAAAACGACGGAAGCAGCTTAAATTTTCATCGCTCCATAATGTTCGAAATAAGAACCATCACCGTCACCAGAAACCATCACGAGAAAGATAAAGCAGTCCATATACATACAGACTGAAGTACTGAAAGCTCCAAGTTTTACATTAATTATTTTACGACTCTTTCTGAAATGTTATTATTAAGTATATTTCCGTCTTGAAACTGACATTTCAATTATTTTTAAAGCTGACTTTTGATTTTGTTTTCAAAATTGACTTTTGACTTCTCTGTATGCGCGCGCATGTGTATTTTTTCTCTGGGAACTTCTTTTTTTTTCTATTTCTATCGTTCCAATTACTTGCTTTCTCCTTTCCTTTGGCACTATACGAAAGACGAATAACAAGTTCTCGCTCGAGACCTCAATATTTTTACACTTTTGACTTCTTATATCCGATATATCGGGTACTTACCGAACTACATTACAATTTATCTAATTTTTTGATAATACATATCTTTTTAACCCCATTTCAACACAATCTGTTTCATTTCATAACAATCTGTTTCAAGGACATTCAGTAACGAATTGGAGATGAATAATACTTGTTCGGTGTGTGTCATAATACACTGCTCAAAAAAATTATGGCATAGATAATTTATTGCCGAAAATTGGCCAACTTTGACTGGCGATCACTTCGCGAAAAATTATTGTAGACTAATGATTTTTTTTCGAAATAAAGTTTGAAGTCTCTACTTTAAGAATGTATCTCCATTTTTTGCATGCGATGTACTCCTACCCCTGTAACTCCTGACATCTGAGGGCATGTTTGATATACTGAAAATTGTAAAGTTTGACGGAATGCACGGACGTGAACAATTTTTTTTCGGGAACGCCGTTTGCATCATCATAAAGTTCAAATCTTCCCCTTCAATTTGAAAAAAATGGAGTCGCTACAATTTTTTGTCGCAAAGTTACAGCCCTTCAATCATATCGTTGTTTCTGACCTTCGGGCCAAGTATGCACGCATGTATGTGTGTGTCCGTGGCAGAAAAGAAAAGGACCCCGTGGTTCGTCACTTCCACTTAATTATTGACTCCAAATCCTCCCTTCTGTGTACGTGGGCGCGCGCGCATGTGTGTGTGTGTGTGTATGTGTGCATGTAAGTGCGTCTTCAATATCTCATGTTTCCCCCACGCTGCCGGATCACTTCTTGCAGCTGGTCTCTCATGTTAATGCAGGCCCTAATTTCTTCCTGCGGAAGGTCATTCCAGATCTGAACCAGAGTCTGCAATAGGTCATTCAAATTGACAGGTTGTCTTGCCAAATTTCTTAACCTATATTTTTGAAGGGCTGTAACTTTGCGAAAAAAATTGTAGCGACTCCATTTTTTTCAAATTGAAGGGGAAGATTTGAACTTTATGATGATGCAAACGGCGTTCCCGAAAAAAAATTGTTCACGTCCGTGCATTCCGTCGCACTTTGCAATTTTCAGTATACCAAACATGCCCTCAGATGTCAGGGGTTACAGGGGTAGGGGTAGATCGCATGCAAAAAATAGAGATACATTCTTAAAGTTGTAACGGCCGAACTCCGCGGGTCGGTCGTCGCTACGCGTTTTACATGGATAAAACTCGTCGGAGTCCGGGTTCGGTGAGGAGGAAAGCAGACGAAAGGAGACGTCTGATAGCAATATAAATATGTTAGCTTTATTTGATACTTACAAGGACAGTGTCACAACTGTCCCTCACCGATTTGAATGAGCTTCGGATATGTTGTAGAGCATCAAAAACTAAGGGACACGTATTTTTTTATATCGGCTTCGGAACATGTTTAGGGGGTGAAACCACACCTTGAAAAAATAGCCGTTATCGTTTTTAGCAAATATTTTCTAAATTATGAGTCATATGAGAAAAAGTTTCAGACAAAAGTTTTGCAATATTTTATGCTCTTTGCAACCATGTGTTCAATTTTTTAAAATTTCAAATGTTGAACTACTCTCCGCTGCTCTCGTTACTCTGGCAAAATTTTTAAGTTTTTGTAAGGACAAGAATTGTAAAACATTAAATACCAAATCCATCCATATATAATATTAGAAAATGGTATTTAATATTTTGGACAAAACGCAATGAGAAAACTTCATGGTATATTACATGGGCTGAAAAGTCTTTGGCCTGACATGTAGATGGCACCACAAACTAAAAATCCTTATATTTCCTATAAAGTACCAACCTTAACTTAGATGCTGTAAAAATTTCATGATATTTCGTTGACTCGTGTACAAGTTATAGCTTTCGAAGTGACGTTACCTCTGAATTTATCTTTACTATGGAAAAAAGTGAATTTCGTGTTTTGATTAAACATTGCTTCCTGATGGGAAAAACACTGTTGAAGCAAAGGCATGGCTTGATAAATGTTACGGCACATCTGCCCCACCGAATTCAACCATCAAATATTGGTTTACTGAGTTTCGTCGTAACCGTACGAGCACAAATGATGCACCACGTTCAGGAAGGCCAAATGAGGCAGTTACTCCAGAAAACATCCAGAAAATCAGTGAAATCGTGTTGAATGACCGCAAAATGAAATTGAGTGAGCTAGCTAACATCATAGGCGTCTCAAAGGAACGCGTTGATCATATCATTCATGAATATTTACACATGAAAAAGCTTTGCGCGCGTTGGGTGCCGTGTTTTTTGACAATTGAGCAAAAAGCGGAACGTGTTCGACTTTCAAAGCAAAATCTGGCCCTGTTTAACCGCAATAAGAGGGAGTTTTTGCGTCGATTTGTCACAATGGATGAAACATGGATCCATCACTACACACCGGAGTCCAATCGGCAGTCAGCGGAGTGGTTATTGCCTGATGAAAGCCATTCGAAGCGCCCGAAGACACAACAATCAGCCGGCAAGGTTTTGGCCAGTATTTTTTGGGATGCGCATAATATAATATTCATTGATTATCTTGAACATGGAAAACTATCAATAAAGAATATTACTGTACATTACTGGATCGATTGGACGACGAGGTCAAGGTCAAACGGCCACATTTGGCAAAGAAAAAAATTTTGTTTCACCAAGACAATGCTCCAGCTCACTCGGCTCGCGATATGACCGATAAATTAAAGAAATTGCGCTATGAATTGGTCCCGCATCCCCCGTATTCTCCAGACCTGGCCCCCAGCGATTATTTCTTTTTTCCCCGACTAAAGCAGTGGCTCGCTGGTAAAAGATTTTACTCGAATGAGGAGGTCAAGTTGGAAACAAATGCCTATTTTGAGGGACTTGACACTGAGCACTATAAGACCGGCATCGAAATGTTAGCGGACCGTTACACTAAGTGCATTACTCTAAATGGAGATTATGTCGAGGAATAAAACACTTTTTTCATTAAAAAAATCGTTTTTTCATTGTTAAGCCAAAGACTTTTCAGCTCATGTAGTATGTGCTGCTCTGTCCGAGTAGATAGATACTGTAGGTAGATACGCTGTGATATTTCTTTACAATTGCACTATGCTTCACGACTGTTTGTGCATATTTTCTTATGCTACAATTAATCGTAATGATATGATACACAATATTACACGAAATAAAAATGCTTGATGAAAACGTGAACAATAGAACAATTTGCATATATAACAGTAGCAAATGTGTGTGCAACATCGCTATTTGAACAAGAGCTCCAAATGTGTATTTTCTTCATTTAATGTGTAAAATTTATGTTCACTACAATCTGAAAGGTATGTCGATTAAGGATAATTAAAATGATTAAAAAATTATTTCATGCAATGCACGTGAAATAATGAAACACATTATCATCAGCCTAATTAGAAAACCTCCTAACTTCAATTTTTTATAAAATTGAGATACTCATTTTGTTCGATTTATCTCGTCAACTTTGATCGAACAAAATGAGTCTCAATTTTGTAAAAACTTGGAATTAAGAGGTTTTCTAAGTAGACCGACGTTATGTTATCTCTGCAAGTGTGTAGTGTGACAATACAATATATTTTATTAATTGCTGAATGAAACATAACGAAGGGCTTAACAAAAATTATGGAATAATAATTTATAGGATAGAGAGGAACAATACAATAAATTATAGAAGAATAACACGTTATTATATATATTTCACAATAGTAATAAACAAATCAATACAGTATTTGCATATAAACGAAAAATAAATGTTATATTTATGGCACATTCGTTGCAAAAGTGGTGATCATGGAAAAAATGTGTGATGCAAAGTGATCTTTTGCACTAAAAGCAAATAATTATGGCAGTTTTTCCACAAATATCGCATTTTATTTTAGAATCAGATCAGAGTGGGTTCCAATTAGAACTTCACACCGGTCGTACCTTAGCACAAAAAGGTACAAAGAAAATAGAATCCGTAGTGCAATTGTATCAGCAACCAGGCATAGTTATACCATACAGCCAACTATTTCCGCTGATGGTGGATTATTGTCGCCTCTGTTAATTGTATTAAAAGAACCAACAGGAACGTTCGGTTCATGAAAATACTTAACTTTCGTTGACCGGATTCGCTGACGGAATATTTTATAAATCCTTCATTATTACAAATAAGGACTTTACATAGACAAGTTCCGAATAACACAAACTTACATATATGCACGATACAATTATAAAATATGTTATTTCCGCGATTCCCGAATGAACTACCACACAAATATCATGAATTATAATTTTTATATTTTACTATTGAAAAAGGTCGAAAAATTACGACTGGAACATACGTATGGATATTTGTAAATTTTAACTATGATTATTAAAAGTAAATAATTGACACGACTAATAGCGTACTAGCTCAATTGTCTTTTTATTCTCGTTTGTTTCCTGAATCACATATTTGTGAAATTTATGTTTATACTGCAATTTTACAGGAAAGTCAAAGTGAATAAAAAAGGGCAAGCGTGTTGTGCATGAAATGCATTAAAAATCTTGATAATATAACACAAAATTTAAAAAATATAATCTAGATGTACTAACATGTTTATTGTAAGACATTATTATGTATGTGTATGAATGAATTTTATATTATCGCTTAAATGTTATCAATATGATTTCACCTATTTAGCGCATAATATAATTTAATAATATATTATAAAATTTAAGATTGACAGTTATATATACAATTAGAGGTCTGAAAAATTTAAACGACAATCGTAAAGCGCGTATAACTAAACTAAAAAATGTTTTATATAATATTAATAAAAATTATTGAATCAATACGTATGAGAACGTATTCGGTCATTAATTTGACAGAAATAAATTGCTAACAAAAAAATTATCCCGTAAAATTTGAAACGCCAAGCTTTTAACTTTCAGCTGGCTGACGTCCAACTTTCAGCTTTCAGCTGGCTAGCGTCCAGCTTTCAGCTGGCTGGCGTCCAGCTTTTATATTTCGTATTTATTATATAAAATATATATAATTCATTATATAAAATATCTACACTTCAGATCAGAGTAAGTTCCAATTAGAACTTCACACCGGTCGTACCTTAGTACAAAATGGTACAAAGAAAATAGAATCCATAGTACAATCTGTATCAGTAACCACGCATAGTTATACCATACAGCCGACTATTTCCGCTGATGGTAAATTATTGTCGCCTCTGTTAATTGTATTAAAAGAACCAACAGGAACGTTCGGTCCAGGAGTACGTGAAAATTTATTCAATGCTCCTAATATTTTTGTAATGGCTTCCAAATCAGGTAAATTGACATTAGATTATATGAAAACCTGGTTGAGAGAAATATTTTTTCCGAATGTCGGGCTACAATCCGTATTATTATTAGATTCATGGAGTGGACATTGTCCCAATGTAATTCAGGAAACTAGATCGGATTTTGTATCTAGATCAGATATTGTTTTTATAACCATTCCAGCCGATACAACGGAAAAAATACAACCATTAGATGTATATGGCTTTCGATTATGGAAAAATTTTATTAAATATTTTTCTGATATTGTAATGCTATTAGAACTTGCAATTGATCTTCATGTTAGAAACAATATTTTAAAACTGCAGTCATTAACGCACCATCAATTATCGTCACCCAGGTTTCACAATTTATTTAAATATGCGTGGTTTAAAAGTGGATATTTACAGAGTAGGCCATGCGAATTCGAAATACCGGTTGAGTTTTGTTTCCAAAATGCTTCTAAAATAAAATGCGATATTTGTGGCGAAACTGCCATAATTATTTGCTCTTGGTGCAAAAAATCACTTTGTATCACACATTTTTCCATGATCACCACCTTTGCAATGAATATGCGCCATAAATGTAATATTTATTTTTCGTTTATATGCAAACACTATTGATTTTTTTATTAATATTGTGAAATATATATAATAATGTGTTATTCTTCTATAATTTATTGTATTGTTCCTCTCTATCCTATTATTACTCCATAAATTATTACTCCATAATTTTTGTTGAGCCCTTCGTCGTTAAGATCTTATGTCTCATTTAGCAATTAATAAAATATATTATATTGTCACACTACATGCTTGCAGAGGTAACATAACGTCGGCTTAATTAAAAAACCTCTTAATTCCAATTTTTGACAAAATTGAGACTCATTTTATTCGATCAAAGTCGACAAGATGAATCGAACAAAATGAGTATCTCAATTTTGTCAAAAATTGAAGTTAAGAGGTTTTCTAATTAGGCCGATGATAATGTGATTCATTATTTCAAATGCATTGCATGAAATACTTTTTTAATCATTTTAATTATCCTTAATCGACATACCTTTCAGATTGTAGTGAACATAAATTTTATACATTAAATGAAAAAAATATACATTTGGAGCTCTTGTTCAAATAGCGATGCTGTACACACACATTTGCTACTGTTATATATGCAAATTGTTCTATTGTTCACGTTTTCATCAAGCATTTTTATTTCGTGTAATATTGTATATCATATCATTACGATTAATTGTAGCATAAGAAAATATGCATAAGCAGTCGTGAAGCATAGTGCAATTGTAAAGAAATATCACAGCGTATCTACCTACAGTATCTATCTACTCGGACAGAGCGGCACATATACCATGAAGTTTTCTCATTGCGTTTTGTCCAAAATATTAAATACCATTTTCTAATATTATATATGGATGGATTTGGTATTTAATGTTTTACAATTCTTGTCCTTACAAAAACTTAAAAATTTTGCCAGAGTGACGAGAGCAGGGGGAAGTAGTTCAACATTTGAAATTTTAAGAAATTGAACACATGGTTGCAAAGAGCATAAAATATTGCAAAACTTTTGTCTGGAATTTTTTCTCATATGACTCATAATTTAGAAAATATTTGCTAAAAACGATAATGGCTATTTTTTCAAGGTGTAGTTTCACCCCCTAAACATGTTCCGAAGCCGATATAAAAAAATACGTGTCCCTTAGTTTTTGATGCTCTACAACATATCCGAAGCCCATTCAAATCGGTGAGGGACAGTTGTGTCACTCTCCTTGTTAGTAATATATAGTAGATTAGCAGCAGATTCAAACAAAATACCGTGACAGACATCTGATTGCATTAAAATCATCTTTTTTTGATAAAGCTTGCTTGCTAATATAACAGTAAATTAGCAACAAAAGCCACTGTAATATGTTCCATTAAATCACAAACTTTTTATCAAAGAGGATAACAAAACCAGCTATATCAATTCGACGGTAATGGAAGGTAAACTAAATACTGGCTCTGGTTCTGGTTCAATAAAAGCTCTGGGCAAAGCTGTTACACTCTATTCCCTACGCCAGTCCACGATTATGAAGGTAAAAGAAAAACAGGGACACGCGTACGCAGTCCCCACGATAAAAAAATATGCGTAGTTAGAGGAACCACATCCAACCGCCACGAAGCGAACAAAAGACTTAAACTAAATACTAACAGAGAGAAACCTGAAAGCAGCTACCGGGCCGAGACGCTGGGAAGCTTTTTCCGCCGAATTCCGTTGCGCCCTCTGAGAAAATGTGTGCACATCCGTTACATTTGTCCTGACGGTAACGGCGAAGCATGTACGGTTCTTGCTTATTCTACTTCCTTAAGGAAAATAGTAAGATAGAAAAGCACAGACGATCAATCGCTCTTCGTCTTTGTCGCACCACCGATGAGCGAGCGTGCGGCAGGAGGAGACACGAGGCGAGTCAACGGCAAATCTTATCGCTAGGCTAGAATCTCTCCCGTCTGGCCCTTCACCTTCTCATCTTTCTCGTAATGTACTACCCGCAATTCGGGAAGCAATATTTCAAGACCGCGCGGACAATTTCTAGCAATGACACAAAATGATCCTAATCACTGGCCATCTTATAATTTTTATATTCAATTTTATAATTTTCTTTTTCAGTTATGAACATACACATGCATATGCGTTGTAAATGTTAATATGCAATAATTATTATATTTTAATTATTATTAATATTAAATAATTTTATTAACGTTAATAATTTAAATGTCAGTAATTTGAGAGACTCATCTTCTCACATGGGAATTGACATATTTATCTGATTTCGAAAAGATTTCTTTGTTCGAAATTTTTACGAATCAGCGTACAAAATTATACAATGGATTGTTGAGTGTTTGCAGGAAAAAAAGTGAACAGTTTAATACATAGATATTGTAGTCAAATAAAGATACTAAATCTTTTAAAATCAAAAGTACATGGTGGTCGTGGAGGTAAGCTGGTTTATTGTGCTGAAACAGAGGGCTTCGAAATTTGGCATGCTGTTTTGTTATTTTTTCATTTTTTTCCTCCCATGTATGAAAATGTTATTCAATGCAATCGGTATTGATATGTTTAATATATATTTAACTTATGATATAATCAGAGAGGAACCTGAGAGCAGCCATCAGCGAAGGTTCAGAAATTTTTATGAATTCGACGCGTCCCTTGAGAAAATAGACGTCAACTACATCGATGTCGCTCGGTAACGAGATATGTCTGTGATAGTTTGGTTCATATCTGAGCTACTACACAGAATATAGTAAAAATTATATATATATCATCAAGAGGAATCATCCCAGCAACACAATAGGCCTGTTCGTTTTGTCTCCACTGCTGAACTGATGCAACAAGTTAAAGTGAGAAAACCTACGTTTGTCTCACTTTAACTTAATGCACCAGTTCAGCAATGCAGACAAAACGAACAGGCCTAATATTACATATAACGTGCATGATAGTTGTAATTTCCTACTTAACAATATAACTGTTATATAATACATGTGTTATATAATAGTTATGAACTAAGATCTTTATCAGTTTTCTTTCAGTATGTATAATAGTCAAGATATGATGAGCAAAATAATTATTCGATAGAATTATGAATAAGATTATCGAATTTGAAATACCGGGTGGAGCCCCTCTCCCGCTTATATGTACCGTTTCCTATATTTAAAGAAAATGAAAACTGCTTATCTACTTCAAATATACTTCAACGTACAATTATAAAACTTTAAAATCAAATATCTCAGAAACTATAAGCGACCCTTATATAATTGTATTAGGAAAAGTCACTCAGAATTTCATCCTTTATAACATATTTCAAAATGAAAAAAATCGGTGAGGTGCACCCTTTTCTATATATTTACCTTGCTTTTTTTTTCTTTTTCCATTTTTCTCTTTATTCTGTCATGTTTAGTTTCTTATTTGTTACATATTTTTTCTCACATATCTAAAATTATTTCTTATACTGCATATCTAAAATTATTTCTTATACTGCATTGCAAATAAAAATATAAAGACTATGTTGACTCCAGAAGTTAGCTTTTATAACAGGTGCATGTATAAAGATTGTCAGAATGGAAAATTGACTGCAAAACGATTATTCAAATTTCCAATACAGAAGAGTGCAAGATATATAATACATGGATACTTAATACATGGATATAATAGGTACCTGGATACTTAATACAGATATGTAGGTCTTTCCGCAATAATTATTTTCTATATAAAGGAAATGCAGATAATAATACGCATTTTTTACATTTTAATTAATTGTACGATTATACGAATTAACTGTAACGATACGATATACTTACTTCAAACTAACACTGAATATGAAGAGTTATCTGCTGTGTAGTGGCACTACTAAAAATTGAAATTTATATAGTTGAATTAATAGTGCTTCAAATAATTAACAATGTGAAATGTTGCAAATGCATACTCTTGGACAACCTATGAGATAAGAGTACGCACACGAAGTACAAGAATACGCATTTTTTATTCTATTAATTAAATTAATGAAATTGATTAAATGTCATCCTGACTTACTGCGGTTATAAATCCTCGCCGTTCTATATTTTTGCGCTTGTATTTTGATGTCTAAAACTAAAGGGAGCCGTCGAACTTCTTAGATCTAATGACGATATCGATATTGCGCGACGCGTAAGCGATACGCGAGGATAACCGGCCAGTCAACGACATATACGAGGGTGGTCCGATAAGTACTTAGCCTACAAAAGAAAAACGAAAATTTTGGAAAAGTGGCGATTTATTTCTCAACATAGTCTCCTTTTAGCTCGATACACTTGACCCAGCGATGCTCCAACTTCTTTAACCCGTCTGAAAAATACGTTTTCTCGAGGTCTGCAAAGTAGGCCTCCGTGGCGGCGATGACCTCCTCATTCGCCTCAAATTTCTGCCCGGCGAGTGACTTTTTCAAGTTTGGAAACAAAAAGAAGTCGCACGGGGCCAAATCTGGAGAATACGGTGGATGGGGCAACAGTTCGTAGCCCAATTCGACCAATTTGACCGTGGCGAGGGCGGAGGTGTGAGCAGATACGTTGTCATGGTGGAACAGCACTTTTTCTTCGCCAAATGGGGCCGTTTTTTCTGCAATTCGGCGTCGAATCGGCCCAATAATTCGGCATAGTACAGCCCAGTGACCGTTTTGCCCTTCTCCAGGTAGTCGATGTAGATCACACCTTGTGAATCCCAGAAAACGGTGCCATCACCTTTCCGGCCGATAGGACAGTCTTCGCCTTCTTCACGTTCGCCGGGTGAAGTCCATTATTTCGATTGTTCCTTGGTCTCTGGTGTGTACCAGTGGATCCATGTTTCGTCGACGGTCACGAAACGACGCAGAAACTCCTTCGGATTGCGCTTAAACAGCGTCAAACACTGCTCTGAAGTGGTCTCACGGTTGCGCTTGTTGTCCGGAATGAGCAAACGCGGCACCCATCGCGCCGACAGCTTTCTCATGCCCAAAATTTCATGCAGGATATGACCCACGCGGTCTTTTGAGATGCCTACTGTCTCAGCTATCTCGCGCACCTTCAATCGGCGGTCTGCCAATACGAGATCGTGGATTTTTGTCATGTTATCCTCCGTGGTAGCCGTTTTCGGGGCACCTGGGCGTGGCTCATCAAAATTCGACGTGCGACCACGTTGAAACTCGTTAAGCCAATTTTTGACGGTCGCCATCGAAGGAGAAGAGTCACCGTACACAGCATCCAAGCGCTCTTTGATTTCGCTGCGCGATTTCCCTTCCAAAAACAAGAATCGAATTACCGACCGATATTGCTCTTTTTCCATTTTTCTAAAATCCGCGGACACGCCCGCTTCCACACGCGGTCAAAACAAAACTACGAGTCCGATTCGGCTGAAATTTCGACAATAGCCGTGTACGAGAATGTACTACACGATAGTAAATTTCTCTTGCGATAGTGGCGCCATCGGGCGGTGAGGCTAAGTACTTATCGGACCGCCCTCGTACGTTGCGGCGGCTACTTAGACAGATCAAAGACGCTCGCGACAACTATTGTCGGGAAATCATTAAAATTTTTTCCTCATTTAATAATTACTTTAAAATATATATGTTTATGTGTGTTTAATGATAATATGACACAAAGATGTGCTCCAGCTGATTTCTTATATAGCGACGAATCTCAGCGGCCCGTAATCATCGGCCGGCCGCTAAGCGCGGAACGGCGCACAGTGGGAAAAAACTCATTTTTTGGACAAAAATCTACGGATAGTGCAATTTTGATTGCTTTTTGTACGTTAAAGAAAGATGCGACGTCCTAACTTTGCGAACCTAATACGTTGTATTTTTATTTTTGATTTTTTGGGTGTATTTGTTGCAGAACTATTTTTTTTGTTATAGAGGAACTGTAGAACTATCTAAAGTACTATTAGAACTCTACTTGTTTTTTTTATATTGACGTGTTAACTTCACAGATATGCCTTCCCGCTCCGCCACACGCTCCTTGAACGCTTTACTTAAATTGGTTATAAGGCCTTCTGAATTTTTTATCTTTCATTTTCTCGCGAACCAAATTTGTTTGCTCATTATACTTTTACCTAATACTAATGTGCATGAATACCTACTGCTACGAGATGCAGCTAAAAATTATATTTACACGTCAGATCTTTTTTTTGTAAGATGTTACCTTCAAGCTGAATATAAGTTTTTCATAATTAGTTCCGCAGCCATATCATGCTATATGCAAGATTTATAATCCTACAAAAGTTCGGAAGAGTTTTCTTGTATAAAAGCACAAAAGCTGAATGACACAACAAAATTAGGGGTAATGATTAAATGAGTATACGAATTAAGATGCTGGCCGAAATATCGAAGTTGTAGGCGTGTCAAAGCAGATTTTGTATATTTGTAGGCATGCTGAAGCATTTTGTACAGGGTTATAGGCACCTGGGGGAGGGAATGCAGGTCGGGGAGGGAATGCAGGTTCAGGGAGGGAATGCAGGTAGTTCCCCTGACTCCCCCCACCACGGTCCAAGTGGTAGGCATCCCGCAGGGGTTTTAGTCGGTAGAAGTCCGACATAACCCCCGCCCTCCCCAAGAGGCGGGGGTATCCATGAGGATTTCCTCTGCGTGACCAAAAAGAGAAAAAAAAGGTTGTAGTCA